CCCTGTTCTCCCTCCTTCTTTGCTTGCATCCTTTACTTCATTATGCGTTTGTTTCCTTTCTCCCTTTTCTTTCCTGCATCATGCCTCACCTCCTTTATCATTCCCAGTTCTTGGCTTTCCTTTCCTTTGTTCTTTTCCTCCCCTTTCCCTCCTTCAGTAATTATACCTTTTCCTTACTTTTCCTTCTCTCTTGTTTCCTTTCATTGACTCTTTCAGTCGACTCCTCTCCTTCCTTCTTCTTCCATCCTTTGCTATTTGTTTCCTTCCTTCATTTTCTTTACATTCTTCATTTTGTTTCCTTCCGTTCCTTTCTGTTACTCTTTTCCTGCAGACTTTTCCATCATTTGCTTTCATTTTGTTCTTTCTTTCTATCCTTTCCTTGTTTCCTTTCTCTTTGTCAAACATACAATAACACATTTCTCCCACTGTCTCCGCTCCTGCAGCTAAAACCCTAAACTCACAGTCCTGTAGATGGTAAATGAGGCTCCACAGAATCTGACGGGGACGGTCGTGCTGCTGACGACACACTTGTCTTTCACTCACTTTCGGTCTCCCTCCAAACTGAACCCTGTTTCCTCTCATATACACATTTAGACTGCTGTTTTGTTACTCCCCCTCACTCTCCACCTGTCTATCTGCTGTTCCTCCCCCGTCCTCTCTGTCCATCCATCCCTCTCTGTCCCCTGCTTTCAGAGCCTTTCTGAGCGCTGGCAGCCTGTCGATGAGGAGCAATGGTTGGCGGCCGGCGCAGTCGATGACCCTGACAGTGTGCAGTTATCGTTCTAATTAAGATGCCACACTTGAGTTAAACCGCAGCATTAGGATTTGATGGGGAATTGATCAGGGTGTCAAAGGCAGAGTGAGACAGAGAGAGAGAGATGGGGAGGGGGAGATATGGTGGGAGAGGAAGAAATGTGGGGAGGGGGTGAAGCATAATGTAAGACCACCTATTTGAGGGGGATTAAACAGGATGTAAGAAAGACCGACTGAAAGAGAGAAAAAGCAAAGAACACAGTGTTTAGTCTTTCTCACCCCAGTACCTCCAGGTATTGTGTTCACTCTCGTATGATTTGTGTCTAATGCCAACAGTCAGCACCGCTGCGAGGAGGTGTGTAGCCTTTTGGGGTGGGTGGGGGGCTCAGGGTGCAGCAGTTGGACTGATGGATCTCTGTACCATGGGAACCATACCACGGGTGCCATGTGCAGATATTATACAAAGTGAACATTTTAAAAATATTGTCATTGGATGTAAAAAACACTGGACATAATCCAGGGTTTTGCATAATTGTCCAGTATCAGCTTCCTTGTGTATACAAGATAATTCTAGAATAAATATAACAAATTTGTTTTAGATTTTCCTTATATATAATTTGATGTGAACTTAGCTGTTATTTTTCTTTGATGGGATTTCTGTGATTTATTTATTTATTTTTTTAGGAAAAATGAAAAGGGGTGACAGTGAAAACTGATGATATGGGTTTAAATTTTAAGTTACTCACTGCCTAAGCAAAATTGATTTCTTTACTCATTTTTATATTAATGTACTGATTTATCTAAGTCGTGTTTTTTCACTTACTACAAAGTTAAGTCTGATCCTCCACAACCGTGACTGTGTAGAACTTCCTGTTTGTTTGCGGAGTTGAGGAGCAGTGGGCTGAAGGTTAAGATAATCCCAGATTCCCCTTGATGACCCAGTCAATAACAGGGGCTCAGTGTGTGTATTTGCATTTCTGTATATTAGCCTGACACCAAAAGCTCTGACAGTTTCTTCTTGCCTCTGCCTCTCCTGGTTTCTCTTGAATAACACACACTGAAATGACAGAGTTGCTGCGTCACACAGGACATCGGCAGGAAGTATGTTCACTCAAACAGTTTGCAAACACGTGGGTAAACCAAACTCACTGCTGCACCGCTGGGTGCTTTTAGATCAGAAACCATGAATGTATGACTGCACACACTCGAACAGCTGTGTGTCCGGATGCATAGAGAAATAATAGTGAGCAGCAGATAGGGACAGCGATGCCTATTCACTCAGCTCACTGCACACATTCATGCATTGTACACACTTTCTCACATAGGAATTCACCACAAATCTGCACTCACGACACAGTCGGCTCTCTGGCCTGGTTGGGGATCAAAAGGTTGATTATGTGTGAACTGTGAGCCTCATCAGCATCAGTGGTGCAACAGCATTTAGTTAAATAAAAATAACAAATG